GCTCCGTGGGCTGTTGTCACTGACTGTCTACCGCCAGCCTGCGTAGCTCTGGCCGAAGAGCAGATAGCATCGCCAAAGCCTCAACCTCGAGCGGCATCACGTCACAGTGTCGACTTTCCCAGCACTAGCTCGAGATAGACAGAAGACATGGCTCAAGGGTAAGCCCATGACCACCTCGAACCTGCAGCCTGCCTGCATGACATGCCGTTTTCCAGTTAACGCCCATCGCCCTCCTTCAGATACTCTGTCTTCATCGGCCTCTTCGTCATCGTGGCCATGTGCACCGCCGCATGGCTTCTCGCTCCCAAGGGCGAGAACCGTGTGTATGTTGAAAATCCTCCGCCCTCCATTCGCCAGCCACCAGCTAACGCGCGCTTCAGACTGTGGCGCTCATCCCTCATCCTCGCCATCGTCAGCTGCTACCTCATGTGGGCTATCACCTTCCTGGCACAACTGCATCCCTTAATCCGACCGAAACGACACGATCTGCGAGAACAATTTCTAGAGCACTAGCCGGGATAACGTCGACGTGGAGGATGCAATGTTTGATAGACGACGAGCGAGTACAGGAAGGAAAAGGAAGCGGCTGCCGTCATCGAGGGTCGCTTGCGTATAATTACAAATCACATCATTGGAAGAGCTATTTATATTATGGGCGTTCAATTCAATCAAGTTTCTTCTGCAAGCAAGAACAGAATGAGGAGAAGAGAGCTGGCTGTGTATGCTGCGAGCTTTTCCAACGCAAGCCTGCCAATGCTGCAAGGCCGACAAGAGGTGCATTACTGGGCTCACCAAAATTATTATACATTTGCAGCTATTGTATATCATTCTATTACATGGGGTATCTTCATCATCATCCGACAGCCAGGCGTACTACCCAATCCGTCACATACGTCACCATGGCCCAGAGCGCCTTAGCATCCGTCGCCATGCTCGCGTCGATAGATATCGAGTCAACATCGTCGAGCCCCGCAGCCACGAGCACCAGCCGCGCGACAAACCAGCGGGCGGCCGCGCCGGCGAGCGCGAGCAGGCAAGCAACGTAGTAGCGGCAATCAAGCAGGATGCGCAGCGCCTCGACGTTGTTGGCGACGACGGCCCAGCCGAGCGACGTTGCCGCCGCGGGCACGTCGTAGTCCCAGATGACGAGCAGGATGGGAAACAGCTTGGTCGAGGAGGATACGAGCAGCGCCGTGGACACGGCGTTGGGGCGACCGTGCCGTGGGAGCACGCCCAGCAGAACGAGCGGCGATAGCGACGAGGCGACGAGGAAGCGAATGACGATGTGGAAGGCGACGGTCGAGAAGGTGCAGAGCATTACTGTTGGGTCAGAGACGAATTAGTTGTGTTTCAAAGAAATAGAAAATCGTGGTTGATCTGCCCTTACGGAAGAAAAAGTATTGAATCACAATGGGCTGTTGCGCAAGCTGGCCCAGGTTGCTTTCACCTGACGTCTTGCCGGGCAGGCCTTGGTTCTCGATGCGCGCCCATGTGAGGTAGACGTCGAATAGCAGCAGCAAGACGCCGAGTCGAACAATTGAAGGCTGTCCATTTCTCCCGCCATTAGCATATCAAGAAATTTTATTTTCCTTCTCCTTTATATGACCAAATATCGTTCCATAACGTACATCGAATCGGTCGCCATCACGCATCAGCGTGTTATGTAGTAAATGTCGGTAAACCTGCAAAAGCTCTTTGTCAGATTCGTTCGCGAGCGGGCCCCCTCCTCCCCATCGAAACCGCCATTCTGCCGCGTACCTGGGGCTTGATGAGAACCAGATCAATAAAGAGCACGACAAAGTCATGCTCGACGTATTTATCGCAGAAGCGCCCGCATTTGCGGCACACGGTCAGTCGGATGTTGTGTCCGCTGGCCTTGTCGCCCGCACCCGAGTACTGCGTCCACAGCGTCTTGACCGGGTGCCGGCACTCGATGCAAATCGGCATGGCGGGTATCGAATATTTGTAATTCTATTTTCTTTCCGCTAGCGGCCAGTGTCATTTCGACAGTATTTGCCTAGCCGCCCCGTTGCCGTCGGGAGATGCTAACGTACCTAGATAGAAGAGCTTCCTGCGCATGAAGCGCCATCTACGCCAGAGCTCGCCCCACCAGCACCTTCGCTGGTGCCTCCTTGTTGTATCAGCCCAGACAGCTACATGTGCTACGCACCTACCTGGACTGATATAAGTTCGGTTTCCCTCCCGTTAATAAGCTGATTTAATACGATACAAAATTTCTAGCAGTATAAGCAAATTGGATCCTACTTGCATCACTGATCATAGTTATAGCGAGCAAACGCCGTCCTCGCCACTTCTCTTGTATTTGCTGCCTGAGGCACCGAATTAATTCGCTGCCTTGATTGATAATTGTATTTTCTCTAAGTTATTAGAGTCATCAGTAACATTCCAACGAGTCAGGTGGTCAATTTCCGGTTTGCCACTTCGCCTTTTCGCCTTTCCCGTTTGCCGTTCGCCATTTCCCCAGATGCAGCAGCGGAACCAGGCACCATAGACACCCATCAGGGGGACTCTAGCCAAGACAGAGGAAGCAGACAGATTCCTTATTAGTAACAGCAGCCAAAAGTTCCTTTCACAGATTGCTGTCTGCAAAGATGAGCCTCGGATTTATCAGAGCTACTCTCCGTCCTGCGTACTGACAGAAACATGGAATGATTCCGAAATGCTACCGCTGTCGAGGAGATTAGCAATAGAGCTGCCTTCAGTAGTAAACAGTGGCTGGCACCGCAGACGTAGTAGGGATGGATGAAGGTGGCAACAACAAGTTTTCTCTGGCTACGTGATTTACTAAATTCGCTGCCTATGAACCGAGTTGCACCAGCAGTCTCAAGGAGTGAAGACTTTCTTGTCGTGGATGATACGGACATGGCAGATACAGACTAAAATTATCAATGCTGTGGAGGCATGGGATCCGGTGACGGTAAATTCTTCAAGTATGCAGGAGGATGCATAGGCCCTTTACGGGAGCCCGGGCCGTTTGGGCCGAAAGCGCTTCGCTCAAAATTGCGTAACATTTTCACCTTACATTTCAATACTCAATATTTAATATGAGTTTTCTGAATATTAATATTCTTCAATAGACGGCTATATCGAATATTGAGTATAAATGACATCAACTATATATGAAGTCTATAACGACTTAAGTAGGTCAAGAATTACTACTCTCCTTCTGCTTCTACAATAGCATTTCTAGTATATATACTATTTATAATAAGTAATATCGCTGATAAACCCTCGACTAAATATATTATAGGAATTATGTTCTTAAGATAAAGACTATAAAACAGCACCCTCTCTGTCACGGCAGAAGCTGTGATACTCTCCTCCTTTACTCTGCTGCTAGACCCAACATTTTCATATTCATCACCAAAGCACCTAAACAAGTATGAGAAGCTACTTTACATAAACATTTCCTACCTGCTAAGTGAATCGAGTACCAACATAGCAACGATGGAAGTCTGGACCGAGAGCAAGGAGCACTCCGTGGAAGGCCACACTCTCACGGGCACACTTAATTTCAAGGGTGAAAGGATCTGGGGCCCTAATGGCTGTCACAGCAATACGGTCAGTCTGGGAAAGGCACTTCAAGAAGCCGACTGGCGCTTTGCCATGGTATTCGATGACAAGAGCCACTCAGTCGAAGGACACACTCGCTCCATCAGCGTCAAGGACTGGAACGGGAAGGTCACTCTGAACAAACTCAGTACCCACTCCAACATGGATTCTCTGGCTAGAGTTGTCATGCAGAAAATCAGAGAGAATGGGCCCCCTTGAGGAGTTTTACGGCTGTGTTTTCCTCAGCCTATTTAAGTCGAGAACAACGTCATTCAACCGACTCACTTGGACAGCCTGAAGATGCTTTCAACATGCATTGTAGACTAAGACACCTGATGGTAGGGGAATAGCACGTTACCTATTTATATTTTATCAACCAATGTATCACATATCTTCTTATCTTCTCTATAGTAGGCCTTAAGGGTACTTGCCCAATTATAAGTTATACTGTTGAGATATCAACAGATCATTCTATAATAACAGATATCTAAGATCAGTGTCCTGATTTCGAGGTCAAAGCCTAAATAAGGCGGGTAGAGCAAGTACGCCTATCTAACCATAATTAGGCTACTGACAAAAATTGGCTATAAGCACTTTACGAAAGCTGAACCTGCTTTACTCTGTACTCCCGAGAAACCATCCTATTTTGACTCCTATAGGACATCTTAAGCTATAACTAGACCCTAGTGGTCGAGTAAATGTCGGGTTGAAGCTAAACGACTGTAGTTAGCAGGAGCGAAGGCTGCAGCCGATGAGTACAGATTTGCCAGTGCCTCTCATCTCCTTAGTTTCCAAAAGCTTGCTCTTTTGAGGTCGCTTAGCGAAGTCATTGACGAAATGCACTGCGTTACCTCCTGCATAAGCTATATCGCCGCTTCTTTATATTATACCCTACATCACTCTTACGCACCGCCTACATATACGAAGTCAGCACCTACATATACGAAGCTACTGAATCCATACACTGCAATACCACCCTTAAAGCCCTTTTACTAGTTAATGTACTACGTAACGCACTGCTGAAGGCAGGCTGTATATATTGCAGACTCCTGCTATAGGCTATAGGTCGATATTTCTAGTTAATTGGCTGATAATATTATAATGATATTATAAAAAGCTTCAATTCTGTTAGCTTAGCTTGAGTTATCATTCCGTATCTAACATCTTAAGCTGAAAATCTTCGGGAAAATTATATTATACGCCTCTTCATCGGACTTTCCGGCTTAGCATGCCTGACGCCTCCTCCAACAGCCTCAAGTCCCTCGACGACTTTCGCATGAACAATATGCAGATGCAGGGCGTCCCTCCTTCCGTCTACATGCAGCACCAGACCAGCAGCATCAGCAGTCACAGAAGGCTCCTCAGCAAGGCTCCTCCCAAGGCAACTGGCAAATGTACAACGTCCACTACATTTCTCAACCGCCCAAGGGTGGCGAGGCCTGCCTCTCCGATAGACCGCCATCACATGCTATGCCGAGTATGAAGAGAAAAAGAATCTTGAGTGGCGGATGACTGGCGGCAAAACTAGCCTACTCAAGGCAATTCCTTGTCCGATGAAGGGTGGCGACGACGCTCCGCCAGCCTCTCACGGGCAGTGTTCCTAACAAGCGGTCCAAATGGGCTGGACCGCCTGAACCGCCTACTTGGTCCAGTCCAGTCCAGCGATTTTGGTGGACCAGGCGGTCCGGTTCAAGCAGGCTTTCTATCCATACGCGTATAGATTAATTAATCTACATAGAAAATTCCATACTCTATATTCCATATTCCATATAACTAGTTCCTATTCTATACATATTCCATACGGCGGAAAATTAATAATCCTTCCGCGAGCTGTGTTATAAGGGATATAATATATTTATTTAATAGCGGCAGCATTTATCCTTCCTTAGTAACTACTATACTATCACTAATATCTAGCGCGTTAGTAGATCCTTAGTGGCTTCTAATATCCGCTAGCAACCTACCTCCGTATTCCACTATTAGTAGTAGACCTTAACTTACTATCTCTTCTAGCGACCGCCTATTATAAAAATAAAAGATAACTATAAACACCTAGGCCTACGTTTATAACCTTACTAGTTTAGAACTTAGCTACTATAGTTATAAGAATAAAAAAATTTACTATTATAGGTATTATATAGACCTACTATATAGTATAAGTGTCTTAATAGCCTTCTAAAACTATTTATTAAAGGTTATTAGTATTAAGCTAGAGACACTAAAGTATCTTATTAAGTAATAGTATGACTAACTTATTTAGGACGCCTTTACTAAGGTTAGAGAAATATATATAGTAAAGTAGCTATTAAGATAAGAGGATATATTAAGAAGCGCTATTAACCTTAAGGTAGTATATAAGGCACTAGTATAACTAGTTACTATTTATAACCTCTCTTTAAACTATAGCTTATAATTAGAGTTATATATACTTATTTTTATAATTAATCTTATAGCTAATAGTATTATTAGTTTATTAAATAACTTTATATAGAAACTTATTATAAATTCTTATAGTATTTATAAAGATATCCTATAGAGAAAGCTATAGTTAACGCCGTGGAAGCTATATCTTTCTATAGACGTTTAGTCCTCTCTAAATTATAACGTGTTCCTTGAAATTTGCGTGAGATTTATTAACGGAGGTACGAAGGAGGCCTTATAAGCGCTGCTGGCTTTGCCGGAGCTACCCGGACTGGATGGCCCCAGCAGTCATGGCGGCGCGGAACAACCTGCGTCTTCCTCTCGATATGTGGTATGGGCCCCCGCGTTCTATAAGCATGCCTGAAAAGATGAAGGTAGCTTAATAGTAGCTTGTCATCGAGGTGGGCGACCGTAAGACTGCAGTGCAATGCGGACGGTCACGAGTGGCCGACCAGATGCACGACAAGCTGCTCATGTTCCTAGATAAGCTACACGTAATCACCTCAAGACAAAGCGGAAAGCTATCCTCGTTCTTTGTTCAACGCTCGATATACTTGGCTTATTTTGGACAGGATCTGTCCATCTCCTGTGACGCCATGCAAACGGCGCCCGAGGAGAATAGAATCCATGGCATTAGCATGCGCGTGGAGCCTGCTGCGGGTGAAGCTTTTGCAGGTTTTCCAGGGTTTCATACACAAATGGAAGTGGATGGGCGGGTAGAAGACGAGTATCGAACAATACTCCAAAATGCGCAAAGGGAGACCGACCGTTGATGCTGAGGCACGGCTGGAACTGTTTCTGGCAAAGAACAACAGCAAAGAGCCAGAGTGACAGGGCTCGAGAGCACTGTGGCAGCTCGCGTGCTTGACTCGGCGGCGAAGGAAAAAGAACTTCAGGAGAAGTTCGACAAATTCAAGCAACTGGAAGTGGAACAAGTCATTCAACTCGAGCATCTCGCGACCGTTGAACAGGAGAATCGGGGTCGCATCGACGAGCTGAAACGGTCTGCGGCGGATCCGGGGTGTGGCCGGGGGAAGGGGTGGCAAGATACGACTTGAGCGTCTTGCTGGCAGTCAAGCTGCAGCAGCTGGTGAAGACGTTGACGGGACTGGAAGGCTCGTGCAAGTATCTGTACAGCTGAGCGAAAAGCGGAACGAGCTGATCAGGCTTGAAGCAATGGAGCGCGATAAGCGGTCAGTCGTACGACAACTGGAGGAAGAGGAAAGACGATTGCGCTCCATGGTGGATGATTTTACTGCCAAAGTTCGCGCACTATCTGCAGAAGAGCAAGCCAAAGCGAATTCCGCAGCTGCCATAGAACAACAACAAAGGTCCACTGTTGAAAAGCTAACGAATAAGGAATTAAGTCTGCGGTAGACTATTGATAACTTGTAAATTTGCCATGAGCGCCTGAAGGCCAAGATCAGGGCTGCCGCCGAGGTGGATAATGAACTGCTGTCACACGTAGGATACGTGGCCGACACAGGCGGCCAAAGTGCAGGGGCAGAGAGCGTCCCAGCCCACTACGGCGACCGTGGACAGGGCGGGCAAGCCACGAAGGAGGCAGGTCTGCTACCACGGAACAAGCTGCCGAGGCAGATGTGCAGGAAGAAACAAACGGTGGTCCTGGATTGGAGGACATGATCAGGGACGCATTGGGTCCTGAAGAAGATCATCCAACGCAGGCGGAGGACGTGCCGCTGCCACTATTCTCACGGGGTATACCAGCGGCGGAAGGAGAGATGGAAGCGTCTGCCGAGGTTTGATTATTGGTGTTCTTGTTGTTTGCTGTACCAACAGGTGTAGGCCGATTCACGAGGAAAGGAAGTTGAAGAAGTACGGATCGCATTTAGAATTTCGGAGAGAGGGGACTGGATAGTGGATAGGTGATAGGGAGGTAGTGGTGAACCCGGCAGAGCCCTCTGAGATGGAGCGGTTGGCGGTAGAATACCTAGAGAGAGGCTAGAGAACTTTTGGTAGCAAAACTTGAGCGCTGATACCGGATACGTGTTTTGAGAGGGCGACGTCAGATGGAAGGAACATAATCTGTGTCGCGCCACTATGGCCGACTGAGAAGAGTAAACCGGAGGAAGGAGAGCGACCAGCCAAACGTAGAAAAAGAATAGAACAGGACCGATTATATACCGGTATGTAACACATTATAATTGTTTATTACGGATGTCCGGCGTGTGGTAATTTGTTCATGTCTGGCTCTCTAACCGCGTGCTTCTCCATGTCTAACTAGCGTGATGTGGAACGAGGCTCTAGGATTATTCTCCATGTACTCTTGACGCATCTCCACGTGCGGAACGTGTCGTCCCTGAGGTCCGCATTCATCCATCTTTCTCCCGATTGCTTTCAAGTACGCCGCTGTAGCATCGGTGTGGGGGCTGCCATTATCCTCAAATTCGATTAATCGCAGGCGCAAAATGACACGCTTCGGTTCACCGTTATCTATAGGTACAGGTTCGTTGAGCGACATCGTTAAATGGAGTCTCCAGATGAGAACAACAACAGTGGAAGAAATGCTAGAATCGATACAAACGGGCACTTGCGATGGTTGCTGACCTATCTCTTTCTGTTGGCTGACAGAGTCATCTGCTGCAGCACTGCATTTCGGTGCTGTACTTGGGCGACAGCCGCAGCGCCCGGTCCGAAGATACTGGCCAGGAAAATCGCCTTCCAGAGACCGATGCTTAGACTCTGTTGGCCGTTTCTCCCAGATTTTGGTATAGCAGACCCGCCCCTGTTCCAAGCCCACACCAATAACGCCACGGTGGAAATTATCTCATTCGCAGTCATGAATAAGGCGACACCCTGCTGGGTACTTTCAACCTCCATGAAGACGCTTCGCCATATGGATGCGACAGGCCACAAGGCACCGAGCGATAAGGAGGCGACGATCGGTGCAGGTAGAAGCCGAGGGAAGAATTTGGCGAACAGCACACCCGATGTCACTAGCAAGTGCGGCATGGCAGCTATCCAGAAGGCGACGGTGTAAAGTTTGTTTAGTTCGCGAGCTTGCTCCGTGCCGGAATCTTCCTGTCGACTGCAGTTTTTCTCGCTACTTGGTTGGCTCTTCGTACTGAGAAGACCGTGCACAGTCGCGAATAGAAGCGGGTGGAAGAGGCGAATTAGAATCCAGGATTGTTGAGAAAACAATGCGGCTTCAGCATCCGGCCTGCAAATTAACATAAGAAGTGTTGGGATTCCGGTAGAGAGGATAAAAGACCAGGGCAGCATTTTGATTTCGGCAATGTCCAACGATGAGGCCGAGCAAGGTGAGGATACAGCGCGAGGTTCGATTGGAGACTCTTGTAGGTCGGAAGCACACCATGCCGGAAAACCCAATGCAACGGTCATGAACTCCATGATCAAGCCCCATATCACATATCTTCGGCTCCGTCGCGGGGAATGAGTGTTGGTCGAACCTTTAATACTCGGCACTGACTCCAGCAAAACCAAGATCCAGGCCGCCATCCAAAGCCCAAAAAAGTGCCCCCCTTGAATGAAGAGGCTGAGGTTGTGAGGGTCGAGAATTACGTGAAAGACGCAAATCATGACAGAAAATATGACATCCAAAAGGGCCAGGCCAGTCCAGCTGGTCCGCAGCGGAATATCAGTGCCTGGCAAGACCGGATGCGCAGAGTGCACATTGTCCAGTATCAAGCCCAACATGCCACTTTGGACACTGTGAAGCAATGGTGCGAGGAGAGCACCAAGCGAGAGCAGGTATAGTGCCACGGAAGGCTTTGGCATTGTCGACATTCTGTCTCTTTAAACTTCGTTTCCTGTCCCTGTCGATTTATAGGCAAGAGACACCGAACAGACGATTCTAATTTGCGTAACAGCGTGGTTGAGGGATGCAGCAATATATAGCTAGCCTTGGTGAAGCTTTAGCTCCAGCCAGACTAGTTCCACAGAGAATGATTATAGGATGTAAAAAAAGGAATCGAGCCATATAATGTGCGTATCCCGTTTCTACCCTACACATCTGTCCTAGTTTACGCAATTAGGTGATTAGGGGATTTAGAGTTGTATAGAAACTATTCCCTTTTGAAACTTTAAATCGCGCTATACTGGTCCAACGGAGACGATTACGTGATGAAGTAAGGAACCGGATTGTAAAAGCTAGTGTCTCTCCCGCAGCTACTATAGATACCCCGCACACACTTATTCCTGTATAATTTAGTAGTAGCAGCCTAGAGTTAAAGGCTACGTCATTCTGCTTCAGCCTAAAACTGATTACGTTTAAATTAGAATAGCTAAGGCTTCCCGAGGTATAGATACCTGAGGTGTAGAGACCTGAGCACAGGGTCCTATGTCATCAAGATTCCTACGGAGTGCCCAGCACGCCGAGGTAGTATTTTATATAGAATTACAAGGATACTTTAAAAAGACTTCAGCTATATTCAAGTACAAACATAAAAAGTCAACGGAAGCAGACATAACAATAGCAGATATAGTATAAAGTACTAGGCGAAATATAGTCAGTAAATACATCGCTACTATACCCTAACAGTAGAACATCAGCTCTAGATATACTATAGAGTAGTACTAGTAGCTTAAGTATTCTAGTAGCCTATACTAATATTTATACTAACTATTAGTATATAGAAATAGTGTTTTCTCTCTATATTTAAAGAGTTTTATAAAAATAATAAAGATATCTTAATATTAAAAAGTCTTTATAATTCTATTACTTATTTTAACTATTAATACTATAAAGTAATAGTTTCTTATCTAATATATTTACTTTATAATATTTCTAGTTATAATATAATAGAAATTAAGGATAAGTCTTAAAAACTTAGAATCTAAAGTATAATATACTATCTAAGGAATCTAATATTTAATTAGATTATATTAATAGTTATTATCGTTATAAAAGTATTATATAGAAGTTTATTTTAATTAATAGGTTTTAATTAGAATTAAAATATAGTTAAAATAAATAACGTAGTTAATAAGTAAGCAGGCTAGATAAGCG